ATCTGAAGACTGATTCTCTAGGCCTCATCTCCTTGTCATTTTCAGAGATGCCGATTTACCTGCTTTGTGTGAATACCAAGAATGAGTATTATAGCAAACAGACAAACAAATATATGCCATATGAAGAATCAGTAGTGTAGCAAACAGACAAATATATATCATATGAAGAATTAGCATTATAACAAAAGGGCAATTCTCATGTGACTTAAATACTTGCATTATTTTGGAAAAAAATGTTGATTCTTAATTTATGTGTATGAGTGTTTTTCCTGCATGTATGCATGTGTACCATATGGGTGTCTGGTATCTGCAGAGGCCAGAAAATGATGTCTCATCCATTGGAACTGGAGTTACAAAAGGTTGTGAGGCGGGAGCTGAATCCAGGTCCTCTGTAAGAGAGTATGTGTTCTTAAAGCAGAGTTCCCTCTCCAGCCGCACTTGTACCGTGCCTTAACTTACTTTTAATAACAGGGTTTATCTTCTGCTGAGCACCTGACATTAAAATGTATGCAGGTCTCAGCACTCAGGTGAAGGTAGGTAGATTATGAGTTTGAATTCAGTATAGATGACACAGTGAGTTCAAAGTCAGTCTGAGCAACAAACCAAAACCTTGTTGCAGACAAACAATCCAAAACAATAAAACTTGCAATTGAGCTGGATTTGTTTCTAGTGCCATCAGCTGCCTCCTTTTTCTTGGCTAAACTTCAGATTCAAAAACTCATCTACATAAATTTAATTTTATTATTCAGCAAGCTGTATGCTTCATGTAAATCATTCCAAACATGAACTAAATTTTCTCTCTTTATGAGTAAAAATGAAAACATTTTTCAAGTTTGTCATATCACAGTAATATTGGTGAATGCATTGCCATTTAATGCCACTGAAATATTTTATTTTCTAAGTTCTAGTAGTTTGCAAATTGTCTAAGAAACAGAAAATCTGGTGTTTTTCTTAGCCTTTATGTTGTTTGCCCTTTCTGTTACTGCTGCCAACCAAGTCCTTCTCCAAAGGTAACAATTCTTAACCCAAACGATAAAGGCTCTACTACAAAGGGTACTGAGTCACAGAAGTTATTTTTTAGTCTTATGTGAATATAAATTACAATGAGGTTAAAGGCGTATATCTTTAATGTCTAATGTCCAATTCTCTTTAGTGAGCTTGCTTTATATTGTTACAGAGGTGATGTCACTTACAATGCTTGTCCCAAGTAGCTTAAAATCATAAATACTGGTATTTCCAACATAAGTATATTTTAACAATCTGGACTCTTCCTTCTATGCTTTAGTTTTCTGTATGCTTAATCTTGAAGTTTTGAGACTTGTTCTACCTTTCCTGGCCTTTTTTTTTTGAAAAATGGGATATCTTGGGTTAAATTTCATACACCCATGCAAGCAGAGAAATAGTCACGAATTGTTTTTCGTATAGATTTTGGTTCCAGTCCTATAATATAAAATAGACTATTTTATTTTGTTTGTAAGCATCAGTTTTAATAAAAGAAGCAACCCTTGGTGCCATGGTGTTGCCCCCAAAGCTTCTATATTTTAATGCAGAGTTCAAGAGGCCCTGCCCCCTGTCACAGAGGACTAATCTTCCTCTTTTCATGCCTCTCTTCACAGTTTTCCACCTCCTTCCTGTCTTGAGGGAAACAAAGGGTGAAGGGGATGGAAGGCGTGAGGGAAGAGACCTGACCATGCATCTCTACTTTGTGTTCTACTGTGGTCCTTTTGATTTAATCCGGCAGTTCTCAACCTGTGGGTCATGGTCCCTTTGGGGGTGGCATATCAGATATCCACATTATTCATAACAATAGCAAAATTACAGTTATGAAGTAGCAATGATACTTCAAAAATAATGCTATGGCTAGGGGTCACCATAACATGAGGAGCTGTATTAAAGGGTCACAGCCATAGGAAGGTTGAGAACCACTGTTCTAATCCAAGTAATTACCAGTGAAGTTGCCGTAGTCTTGATAGAAGAGATGCGTGGATCTATGGTGACTGGTGAAGATGATTAAGTACACATAGTTATGTCTGCAAGGTTTGCCTAGTATTGAGCCAGCTGTCTGAGATCTCAGAGGTCACTTGGTCCAACCCCTTTATTTTATATATAGATAAGCATGTAGTGTATGAGAGGTTGCTGTTGTTCGAAAAGCTTTCAATTGTTAGAGACTATCCTAAGTATGCTCCACGTAGTGTCTGATCTAAAACACAGATTAGAGACTACACTGGGGACTTGATGTAGCCTGTAAGTCATCCTGAGACCGTGTGACGCCAGAGCCCATTTCTCTACTATGTCACCATTTATTTTATTACTTGAAAGAAGTGAGGTGACATTCTGAAGATCACTGGGTCTCTTGTGGCAGAACAGTCTAGACTTTGGATTTCCTGAGTACTGGCTGTCTGCTTTTTCTGCTGTTTCCTACTAGGCAACCTCTGTCTGCAGTAGAATAAGGTGGAAGGCCAACAAAAGTGCCAGGGCCCCCTTTGTCCCTGACGCCACTGCACCCCCCCAGCCTAGTCAACTGCATCTTTGTGAAGTGCTAGAAAATTTGTTCCTTCTAGAAGTTAGAATGTCTTTAAGACCTGTGGCTATTGACAAGACGCAATTCAATGCAGTTATCTTGGAAAATCAAATATTACTGAACACTGGATGTGATAAATCAGAAAAGATGTTTATAACAATTTTGTAAGTTGCATTAAACTCTAGTTACAGTTAAAGTTATTCATTGCCTGGGATTATTTAAAAAATTCTGTGTTGTGAAGAGGAATATGTCAAGATGTGGTAAAATTGTTCTTTTCTCAGAAACGCTGGAAGCATCTCTCGGTTTAAGCAAGTTTTCAGTGCGGTGTATATAATGAATCACCTGTTTCGGTTTCAGGATTGTCAACCACAGAACGGAAAACTAGCATTTACGACAGGATCGAGGACTGAAATAAAAATAATCTGCCTTTGAACCATCACAGGGCTTCCATAAATCACAGTGGGCTGCTGGAAGAAATTGGTTGCTATCTTTACCGAATGAGCAACAAGGGCTCTTGACCTTTGATAAGGAGACCTAGGCTGTCATCTGGGCATGTCTTCAGTTCCTACAGCTCTTGCTGAGGCCCTGCAGAGCACGTGGTAGAGGGATGGTGGACAGCACGATGGGAGGAGAAACAGGAGATGCAGGAAGACCTTGTTCCTGTCTGCCCTTACAGAGATTAATGGCTATGCCAAGTAAAGCTGAGGATGCTAAATCTCCAGTTTCTCCTTTCCAATTATACACCCGGTCTGAGATAAGCTTTGATTCTATGCTAAGGGTTAGACATGGGGATTTCTCTGTATGATGATTGAGGATGATGCACTGTTCTTTGCCTGTGATGTGTGCTTAGACAGTCTTATAAACAACGCATACCACCATACAGGTGGGTTTTCTGGTCAAATGAAGCATTTAAATCCTTAGCTTTCAGGTGAGCCATGAAAAATTCCAGATAAAATGTAAAACCTTCTATTTATGCATATGAGCTTAGAATTTCCATTTCTAGGGAAACCCAAGCCTAAGACACGGATTTAATGCTTGCAGAGAGTGGTGGTGTGTGGTTAGAGAGTGGTGTGTGCTTAGACGGGCACACACGGCTGAGAGTTCTTACATGCAGTGCGCTCACATCGTTAGCTCACCTGAATGTCAATGTGTCAACAGTCAGCAAATCAAGACAGTACTATTTGGGGGCACCGGGGGGGTCCCTTTCCGTCTTGTCTGTCTAAGCACATCTTCATTCTGTTGTTTTACTTCCTGCTTCAATTGTGTTCTCTGAGAAAGGATTAGTTGGGATGGTGATAAGGAATGAATGGCACCTGTCAAGCTACTTATTGGCACTCAGATGTGAAAGTGGGGTTCTTACTTTTTTTGTACAGTTTGCATTGGAAAAATGCTTGAGCATGTAATGAGAATTTTTAAAAAGATTTTATTTATTTATTTATTTATTCATTCATTCATTCATTCATTATGCAGTGCTCTGCCTACATGTTGGCCTGCAGGACAGAAGAGGGCACCAGATCTCATCATAGATGATCGTGAGCCACTACGTGACTGCTGGGAATTGAACTCAGGACCTTTGGAAGAGTAGCCAATGCTTTTAGCCTCTGAGCCATTTCTCCAGCCCGACACTAATGATAATAATAATAATAATAATAATAATAATAATAATAATAATAATAATTTTACAATTGGTGGCTTAAAAATTGCAAATGGCTAGCAGAGAGCTATTGGCAGTTGATGGTTGGTTGGGAGAAAGACTCGGTTTTCTTCCAGGATGTGACCTCTCCTAGGTTGTTCATGTTCCAGTGGATGGCCATTTACTCACGCATGTGCAACTTACTGGAAGAAAGTAAAGAAGGGGATATTAAGTTGGGGATGGATATGGGAGGTGATGTCCAGGAGTGATTCAGTATGGTGAGCGGGAGTGGATGTGATTAAAATGCATTGTGTACATGTGTGAAATTAAAAAATAGATAAAATAACTTTTAAAACTGCATCACCATTTCACCCCCTTTGTTCTCATCTCCCCTTCAAATCTTCTCTATTAGAAAAAAAAAGACCTTATGTTAAAATTATAGTTACTTAAAAGTACCTACTATTTGCAAGATCCAATCAATATATTTTTAAAATACCGAATCAATTCTTCTGTTTGGTGCGTGCACAGAATATGATTTTTATTGACCGAGTCTTCCATATGTTTTTAAGTAACAGTCAGAAATGCCATTGCCTCCTGGATACCAGTTGTCTCAGTCATTACTGTTTTGAGGAACAATCAACCTTTTGAATAGGGAAGATTAATTTTATGTGTGTGAAAAGATCTGTGATGGTATCTCATATTGGATAACCCTTTATCCTTGTTTTGTTTGTGAGGGAGCTCCTTACAATGTACACATCTTCATTTTTCAGCTGATATCACCAATAGGAAGAAAAGAAGTGTGCTGGGCTTTGTTTTGCTTTACCAACTGCATGTTTTTTCTTTTAGGGTGTGTTGGAGAGTTTCCTGGGAACCGCTGTCTCTGGAGCCATCTTTTGCCTTTTTGCTGGTCAACCTCTCACCATTTTGAGCAGCACAGGACCTGTTTTGGTATTTGAGAGGCTTCTGTTTAATTTCAGCAAGTATGTATATGTACGACTGTCTGTCTATCTGTCTGTCTGTCTGTCTAGTTATTTGCTCTTGTATGTTGTCCCATCTGGATAAAGCACAGAATTGTAATGAAATCGATCCAAGAATCCAATCCACCAAAATACTGGAATGATAAGATTTGGAAGTGCGAATTGCCTTCCTGATTAAGTTGTCCAGAGCTTAGTTGACAGTCATTTGTATAGGCCCATCTGTTGGGCTTTCTGTTTATTCCTTCCCCAGTAATTCTCTTCCTCATTGCTTTGTTACATGTCCTGAGGGCTGGCTCCCCAGGACTTCAAGCCCCAGATTCCTTTGCCCTCTAGGACTTCCTGCTGGCTTAGATAATGAAGAGAGATCAGAGTTTCAGTATGTCACTTTCTCCCATCATTCCCTACTTTCAGCACAGCAGCTTGGCTTGCTTTCTGATACTAGCCCCTGTCAGGTGGCCTGTCTAGCCTAGTTTTAGCTCACCAGGCTCTTGTAGCTCCATTCCTTGTTTGACCTTTACAAGCCCAAGATTGATAATGGCTTCCTGCTCTAGTTAGCTCAGAGTGCCTCCACAGTTGCCATTTTAGGAGGAGGGAGAGGCAGACTTTTGTTTTGTTTTCCTTGGATCCCTCTTAAAAATGCCCTTTTCTTCCATGAGACTGAAACAATGAAGAAACCAAATGCCTTGTTGTTAGTGTACGGTTCCACCCTCGTTCTTCACTGTAGATAGCTTCCAGTACACAAGTAAATAATAGTGACACCAATATTGTCTTTTGAAGTTTAGTCTTTTTAAATTGGGGGTGGGGGTATTAAGATAAGACAATTATTTAAATTGTTGTTTTAGCATGTGAGTAAATTCAAAGTAAAATTGGATATATTTGTCTCTTCCTGCTGTACCTGAAATATTCTAAGACAGAATTGCCTTTACTGGCTGAGCTTGTCCTTAGATGACAGTTTGTTAAGTCTTGTGAGTATTCCTTGGAAGAATTTCCATATTTTGTATCGTTGTGTGTTGCAGGATTTTGTAATAGCCAGTGTCTACACAGCACCTGTTTTAGTTACTTTTGTGTTGCTGTTCAAGGATGCAACTTAGGGGAGAAAGGGTTGACTTGCAGGGGATACACTCCATCACAGGCTAGGAAAGCATGGCAAAGGGAGTTTGAGGAGCATCTGGCTGTCAGGAAGCAGAGAGGGAACAGGAAACAGGGCCAGGCTATACAACCTCAAAGCTCACTTCCAAGGTTTCACATCCTCCACCAGGCTTCTACCTTCTAAAAGTTCCTCAACTTTCCCAAATAGTGCTACCAGCTGGAAATCAAGTGTATAAACCCACAGCCCCAAGATATATTTCATATCAAATCAAACCATAACAGTACTCCTTAAATAGGACTCTCACATGGTGTTTCAGACTGTGTATGTTATTGAAAAGTATCATAAGTTACATGAGACAAGTGAGGGTTTGAAACCTTAAAAAAAAAAGATCTGGGTGGATAACATCAGTGAAAGTCTTCTTAGGCCTTGGAGTTGCAATATGTAAGTAAAATGGTGACTTTTCTGTAGATTGTTATTACAGAGTCCTCCTCCACCATAATTCCGAGGACTTGGAAAGAATCTTATTCACGTCAGTTTACAGAACGAGAGTCAAACAGTTTTTATATGTTTAAGAAAACATTTTGTGAGACAAGAAAGGCTTCAATGGAAGATTAAACAAGCACACACTATAAACAGGAACAAACAGGCAGACCCTTACAGCGAGATTTATCAGATGAGATGTGATCAGCATCTGAATCTACAGAAAACGTTTGTGTGTCTTGGTTTGTTTTAATTACTGTAGGCTACAGAGTATTTCCTTCCACCGAGTAAGTTCCCTTCTCACTTTTCCGTCTGTTTCATCATAATTGGTACTGTTACATAGTCTCCAGCAATGTATTTGAAAACAGTTGTAAAGCAATGAGAAACATTTGCAACACTGCCTCAAAGTCAACACTGCCGATTATGTGACAAATGGTCCTTTGATTTGCGATGTTGTGAATTTGTTCATCTGCTTCTGTTAGATAGAGCAGCAGTGCTAGTGTTTCCTTGTGGCTCACTGTTTCCCAAGGCCAGTGTGACCCACTACCAGGCTTATGAGCTTCCCACTGTGTCTTGGAAGTGGTGTGTTGCAACTGCCACTGGCTTCTTCCCTCCTGTTCAGTGCACTCAAGAGTCGGCATGGCTGTGCAGTTAAGCAGCCATTAGTTCATCCTGCCCAGTTTTTCTCCAACATAATTTTCCAAGCTTAGGTTTGTTGTTAGCTAGCTCTTACAAGTGAAATTAACCAGTTTCTATTAATCCATGTGCTGTCCTGAGGCTCATTTACCTCATATATATATTTCCCATCCCATCCTGCTCGTTCTACATGTCATGGCATCTCCTCAGACTCCTCTTCCTTCTTTTTCCCAGCATTCTCTAGGTCTGGTTCTTCCACCTAACCTTATCCTATGTAGCCACTGGCCAATCAGTTTCTTATTAACAATGAGAGCAACACGTCTTCAGTGTACAGAAGTATTATTCCACATTAATAAATTATGAGTTAATAATCATTAAAAAAACACCCACTCTTATACTCTTTCAGCCTAGACACATGGGGAAGGACCTAGGCCCTGCCTCAAATGACAAACTTTGATGGTCCCCCATGGAAGGTCTCACTCTCCCTGGGAAGCAGTAGAAGGATGGGATGGGGGGTGGGAGGCATGGAAGGATGAGAGGGAGAGGGAGCTGGTATTGATATGTAAAATAAAATTGTTTCTAATTTAAATAAAAAAGGAAAAAAACAAAAAATACTCACTCTCCACATAATTGTAAGATAATCCATATGCAAACATAAAATATCATTACGTGACCCATCATTGTCTATTGATCTTGACTTAGAAGAAATGAGAAGGAAATTGTAAGACAGTAGCATAGTTAGATGGTGATGGCCTATTCTAAGTCTTCTATGGAACAAGCCCAAGTGGAACAAGGTACACATCCAGTTATAGTAAATGGTATCCGTGGGCACTCAAATGAGAAGTTGTAGTGTTTGGCTGCATCGCGGCAGGGCAGTCTTGATGTGATAACAGCCTTTATCTCTTCTCCTGTCTTCTCTTGTTGGTCATGCTCCAGCCGCAGTGCACATTACAGACTGCCTCACACCACTTTTCCTTTAAACTCTTCTGCTTCCTGACCTGTCTCTCCCTACTCAGTCAAGAAAGTTTCTTCATAGGTATTCTCAAACACCTTGGTGTCCTGTGTGCAACTTCATTCCCTCCCAAAATTACTTACCGCTTTCCTCATGACACTATCATTCAGCATGTAATAATGTAATTGCCTTTATCATTTCTTCTCCTTTAGTGGAAGACAGTCCCAAGTTGAGTACATAGAACATACTGATGTTAGTGTTATATTCATTAATTGGTAAAACTCATACTGCCCATACATGCCTGGTATCAGTGCTTTTTAAATACTTTGTACCCTCCATGAATACTTTAAAAAATACTTTTAAAAACTATTTAAGCTTATTCTTTAGCAATTTCACACATGCATTGTGGTTATACTCATCCCTACCCTTTCTTATCTCCCCTCCTTCCCTATGAATCCTTTTCTTATCCCTAGAAGTCCCTTTCCAGATTGATAACCCTTTCAGTGTTTTGTGACACACCTAGTTTGTGTGACTGTGCTTGCTATTATTCATTGAGATCTGGTAAGTTTTCCAATGGTAGGCATCTCCCAAAATCTACCTACAGCTAATAGATCATTCATGAGTTACAGGGCTCCTTGAAACTGTGTCCCACCAATACATGACTGTTTCTGTTTTTGTATAGACCAGTCATGAATGCAATTGGTATTAGCCCGTGATTGTAATTTTTGTCTGCCCCAGAAGATGGTACAGATATCCTCTGTCTCCTATTCTCTGCGACCACTTTGCTACCATACTCCTTACAAAGATGTTATAAGTATCTATATAGGGCTGACCAATCAATCATCGCTTATTATCAGCATCTTGAGAATTTATGGGTCTCCAATTTCACTGTCATCCACTAGAAAAAGGGGACCTTGTGATTAAAGTGATGATAGCATTTGTCTATAAACATAAATGTTTAATAGGCATTTTTACATCGTATCCAGGCAACTATACAACAATATTAAGTTCCTGTCTAGGGTCTGTGACCTCCCCAGCTATGGGTTTCTAGCAGATTTCCAGTACTAGGTATAGGGTTCCTCTGGTACAGCAGGCCTCTAATCCAATCAGAGTAATTGGTTTCCTCTGGGACAGTCAGACCACTGATGTACTATATATATATATTGCTTGCCAGGTTGGTATTATAGTTCATGAGGGTCACAGCTGGGAAAGGGCACAGCTACTGTTTCTTTCCCGGCAGCCTTCATAACTAACCTTTGGTTCTATCAAGGCAGCTAGCAGAGGGGAGGTTTCCACCTCAGAAGTTATTTCTTTTAAGAGAAAATTAGTAAGTTATACACACTTACATTAAACGTGCTTTCTAAGTGCCTATCCCACCAAAACTTTTAGAGTGATTCCTAAAGATCGCATAATAATAGCATGAAATCAAATCTTTAAGCTTGATATTTCCTAGATAAAATTGAGCTTTATATGCAGTGTCTGAAGGTGATCTTTTGGTTTGGTCGGTTGGGTTTTTTTTAATTATTTATTTAATTTAAATTAGAAACAAGTTTGCTTCACATGTCAATCCCAGCTCCCTCTCCCTCCCCTCCTCTCCTGCCCCCTTCAACCCTCCCTCAACCCCTACCCCAATCCCCACTCCACTCTCCAGGAAAGGTAAGGCCCTTCAAAGGGCATCTCCAAAGTCTGTCATATGATCCAGGGAAGGGCCTAGGCCCTCCCCTGTGAAAGTGATCTTTTAGCAACCATTCTGTAGGCATTTCAGTGGTTTTTAGATTCTGCTTGTTTCCTGGCGGGATAGCCAAAATATCTGTTACGCTTTTGTTTTTCTTTCCAGGGACCATAATTTTGACTACTTGGAGTTTCGCCTTTGGATCGGCTTGTGGTCAGCCTTCATGTGTCTCATTCTGGTGGCCACTGATGCCAGCTTCCTGGTCCAGTACTTCACTCGTTTCACGGAAGAAGGTTTCTCCTCTCTGATCAGCTTCATCTTCATCTATGATGCTTTCAAGAAGATGATCAAGCTAGCGGACTACTATCCTATCAACTCCGACTTCAAAGTGGGGTACAACACTTACTTCTCCTGCGCTTGCCTGCCGCCCTACCCAGGTGAGGAAACCTCGTGTTAGCCTTGTACTTACTCTCTGTTCAGGAAGGGATGAGCTCATGCTCCTTCTGAAGGACCTTACCTGGAGTTCTCTGAGGAATCACAGTACTGAATTTGATATCTGATGTATCTGCAGCATGTTATTCAATGAGGAAATGACATCAGGAGCACTGGGATGGGAACATAGCCAGGTCAGTACTTTGTGATCACCTCAAACAAGGAAGTGATATGTACTTTATTCTTAGTTTTATGAGGTAATTGGGGGTGGCACATGCATGTATAGGATGAGTCTAAAGAGTAGAAGAACGCAATCCTCTGGATTCTGTTTCACATTTTATTTGTTTCTTGATTGCTACAAAAATCTCTTCTTTTAAATGGTGTTTAAGTAGAATATCTTAAACTATAGAAGGGAAATTCCAATTCAGTTTTTTATGAGTTCAATCATGAAATTAAACAAAGGTAGTTAAGATTGACTGCCTCTCATGAGTAAGTGGGACCTTTTGGTTTAAACGGCTGTGCAATGTTGGTAAGGAAGATATGCTAAGAAGGAAGGAAGGCAGGTAGCTATGTGAACATACATAGGTATATAATATATAATATACTAATAGAAAATTTGTATCATGAAGTCAGGAGAGAGCACAGCAACATTTGAGTGAGGAATGTGACTGTATATCTTATTAATTTAATATCTCTCAATCCAAACTTAAGTCATTATCAATTTTTTATAAAAACGTGTTAAAGTCATTAAAATATTTTTAGAATAGTTTAGTGTTGTCTTATAGGACACAAGACTTATGAAAAATGACTTATTCTGAGCAAGTTACTCTGTATTTGCTATAAGAGAGTGAGGGGTAGGTGTTTGCATTATAAAGTTTAATGATGAGTATTAGTGTACAAATAGCTATAGGATGGTGTTCCCTAAAGTAAAATTTAATATGCATTTCGTGATTTTTGAGTAAGGCCTAGGGGATTGAGTCCAGCAGAATCCTGGGATGATATAAGCCCAGGGCATAATTGTGCAGTATATTTATGGAATATCTACTTTCACTTCTGGATTCTGAGGCTAAGCCTTTTCATATTTATGGTAAAGTAAATGTGATTGCATTATAGACCAGATACAAAGTGAATATGATATAAAAGTTAAAGGGTTTTTTTTGAGCCTGTGAGAGGCTGTGTGATATTTCCCCCAGATATGCTAGTGTTATAACTCATCCCCCTCTCTCCAGAGGCAGAGGGGACAGAGACACTGGGGACACACTTTTCCATCTGGGTGGTGAAGGAAGAGAGGAGCATCCCATGGACTATTGTTCATGATGCTGATGAGAACACTGGGTTTCTAGGACTTTACACCCACAATTCTTCTTGTCTAGTTTAAGGATAATGAACAGACGTTAATGTTAAGCCCATACTTTGGCAGAGAAATGTGAGATTGAGATTTCAATATTCAGATGAACATGCCTAGAGCAGAGTTTTAACAGGCTTGATGTGATAGTATACAAAATAACCCACACATTAAAATGTGACTGGTGTGGAACATGATGGTGTATGCCTGTGCAATATATAGGGTTCTCTAGAGAAATAGAACTGGCATATAAACAATATATATATATTTATATATGGCGGTAGGGGGCTTTGTTACAATGGTCCGACTAGTCCAACAATGACTGTCTACCAATGGAAAGTTCACCACTAGTGGTTGCTCAGTCCATGAACCTGGATGTCTCAGCCCACCTTCACAAATACTGAAATCCCTAAGAAGTAGGCTCAGATACCAGTGAGGGAATGAACTTGGCAGTGAGATCAGGGACAAACAGGCAAAAGGCAAGACCTTCCTTCTTCCATGTCCCTTATAGAGGCTGCCACCAGAATGTGTGGCCTAGATTAATTATGAATCTTCCCACCTCAAAAGATATGGATTTAATGTGGACCTTGCCACATCAAGTGATCTAATTGAGAAAAATCCCTCGCAGGTGTGCCCAACCACTTGGATTTCTGTTAATTTTCGATATAGTCAAATTGACAACCAAGAATAGCCATCACAGCCTGTAATCGCAGAACTCAGGAGGTTGAGGCAAAAGGGTTACCACAAATTCAGTGCCATCCTGGGTTATACAGTGCCATGATGGCCTGGACTACAGAGTGAGAATCTGCCTCAAAATCAAAGCCCCAAACCAGCTTGTACTGTGGTAGGTATTAAAATAATTACACCTGCCCCCCACCAGAGAAACACATGTATGTGGAGTTCTTCTTGGAAAGAGAATGTCTAACACCTTTGGATGGAGGCCATCATTCTGGAGTTGAGGGAAGACTGGGCAGTGAAAATACTAGGTTCAGAGGTTGGGGACATAACTCAATAGGTCAAATGCTTGCCTGGAATATGTATGACCTTGGGTTCAATCCCCAATACTGGAGGGAAGAAAGGAAGAAAGGAAGGAAAAGAGACTCACAAACATTGATAATTTTGACTTTTCTATTTATTTGTGTATATATACATACATATATGTTGTGTATTTATGCAAAAGTCTGTATAGTAACTTGTTACACAAATATGAGTAATTATTCAGCAAGGTTTTCTAAAAGAAAATAATTATCACTCAGCTGTTTTGTGGTTTGTGAAGCTGGCTTAGGGGTTTGTCAGCATACCTGTCACACACAAAAAGATAGATCGGGTGTTGGCTCCATCCTACCTATGGCTAATGGAAACTTACATCCATTTCTTTTAATTGGATGCTGGCAGACAAGTTAATACAGGACTAAGGAAGGTATCACTGAGTGTGTTCAAATTGAAAGAGAGACAGAGACAGGGAGTGAGAGACAGGGAGACAGAGACAGAGGGAGAGAGTGGGAAGGGAAGGATGAATTAGGCTAGAGAGACAGGAGGGAGTTTTCCAGGAAGTTTTCCCTGCCAGCAAGGATCTTTGTATGAAAATGTGGCACTGAGGGCTGAGCAGGCTTCACATATGCAGAGCAAGTACAGGCAGTGGTGTTATAGCTTCCTTTTGATCTGTGTCCCCAAGGCTGTGTGAAGCATCAGTCCTGAATTCCTCTCGGGACACCAGCTCCCACTCCCTCTAATTGGTACCAGTATAGATCTTTCCGTTGAATGATGCCAAATATATGACTGGAGCAAGTTCATTCTCCCCAAGCAGCTTGCCATCACCTTTCTGTTCTACAAGATGTGGTTAGTGATAGTATATACCATCTGAAGAAGGCAGACATGATGGTATATGCCTGTAATCCAGAATTTGGGAGACTGAGGCAAGAGGATTTCAAGTTCCAAGCTAGTTTGGGCTATCTAGTGTCAGCCTTGTCTCAGCCCCTGCCCCCAATAAAGGAATTGTTTTAAAGGTAAACGTGTAATGAGTAATTAAATATTTCCTGTTTTATTGTTATTATTCACCACAATTTAACCTTTAGTGTAAGTGGCAGCACAAAGATGCTTGCATGTATCATTTTTCTTTCTAATAATACACCATTGGGCCGTTGTTCTTTTCTGCATCCACATTGATGGTTTCACTTATTTTAGTAGTGTTTCAGATAAGTGACATTCATGATATGTATTCAGGAACTGATGAATTTCTAAGCCTGGGGAGTTGAAACTTGCTTGTGGTTTGGAAACTAAGGGCATATAGATATGTCTTAGTCACTGTCCTATTGCTGTGAAGAGACTAAGGAAACTCTCATGAAGAAAGCATGTGATTGAAGACTCGCTTACAGTTTCAGAATCTTAGTTCATTATCATCATGGCAGGGAGCTTGGCAATAGGCAGCACGGTGCTGAAGAAGTAGTTAAGAGATGCGTCCTGATGTGTATCCCAAAAGAGAGATTTTGGGCCTCGACATGAGATTTGAAGCCTCAAAGCCCAACCCCAGTAACACATTTCCTCTAACAAGGCCATACCTTTGAATCCTTTTCAAATAGTGCCATCTCCTGACTAAGCATTCAAATATATAAGCCTATGGGGGCCATTCTTGTTCAAAACACCACAGGGTATTTGCGATTGTTAACAATTTCATATTTTTCTAAGCTCTATAAAGTTAATGGCTATAGGTTGGGCATGGTGGCACATGTCCTTTAATCCCTTTCATCCTTGCACTTGGGAGGTACAAGCCGTGGATCTCTGTGCATTCAGGACCAGTCTGGTCTATATAGTGACTTCCAGGCCAGCCAGAACTACACAGTTATACCCTGCTTTAAAAAAAATGAAAAAAGAAAGATGAAAAAAAGTAAATGACTGTATAGTTCCTACATAACTCTCTCCTATAACCTTTGTAGCTGTGATAGCAAGCTGGAAAGATGGATCATAAATGTTATTACTTCTGAAGAATGAAATGGGAAGGTGCTAGGGAGAGTTGCACGTACAGCTCAAGTAAGTGCTCTAAGAACAACAAAAGGCCAGTCTTTCATCACAACATGCACTCCTAGTGAAAGCATTCAGTCAATGAGCCAATAATATTTAAACTGGCGGATGCCTTGTTTTCCAACACTGGGGCAGTATGCAACAACAAGCCAGCAACTGCACAGATGGAGTCGTGATCCTGCAAACTGAAAGATTTTGCAGAAATGGAAATAGGGTTCCCTCACCACTAAGAGAACTGTACTCATGTCCGTAATATATTATAGCCTTTTAAATGTCTTCCCTTTTTTTAGTATTTCAGACGTGTTATTCTTTATTCTTTAAGAATTTCCTAGTGCATATATAAAATTCATTTTGATCATATCCACACACTTCCCTGCCACGACTCTTTTGAGACGCTCCACCTAGTCCCTTTGGCAACTTCTTGCCCTTATTTATTTATTTATTTATTTATTTATTTATTTATTTATAGAATGTAACCTATTGAGTTCAATCAATGGTGCCCACATGTACATGTTTATAGAACCATCCACTGGAGTGTTGTCAACCTATCAGTGACCACATCCTAGAAGAGAACGAACTCTTAGCAGCCAACTACTGCCAATAGCTCCTCAGCTATGGTTTGGAGCTTGTGCGCTCCTTCCT